TATTCATACTGTTATTTGTAAGTGGCCAATTTTTCATGTGATGTTGCCCAGCTTGTACCCACAAATCTCCATATGCCTCTGCTCTACAACCAAAGCTTACATAGATGAGAACTCACACACACAGACAGACAACTAGACTGGTAGTAGCTGCTCTGTGCTCATTCCCATACATGCTTGTAAGATGCAACAAAGACTCCACATTATAAAGTAAAGATATCATTCATGCCAATTAATTGCCATTAATGCAATATTTCTTATACTTGAGTAACACACAAAAATGAGTTTGCTAAAGGATAAGAGCTCTCTGTACATGCACAGGCATATAATTTCATAATAAAAATAATTCTTAAAAGATAACAAGAACATCTAAAAAGTGTGTAACTCTCTGGGGAACTAAACATTAAGGAACGTGGATTTTAAACAGGAGTAATTTAGAATGAGTCTGTGCCATCAACTTTCTCCTTTCTAAAATACAGTACAAGGTAGATCCATCAACAGAATGACTGAAGGACGCTACTTTCACTTTGGTTGCTCCAAAGGCAAAAGTCAACATCACCAAGAAAATAATTCACACATGAAAACTGAGCACATGAGTATCAAGTGGCTTAAAAGGAGTTTTCATCACTTCATCAAAACCACATTAATATCCTGTGACTCAGAGGTGTGGTTTTGCCTTTTTTTTTTTTTTTAATTAAATTGGACTACTCATATATGTGCAGCCCTGACAGCATCTGGAGCTGGGAAATCCAAAGACACCTGCAAAATGACTGCCAAATGATCAGGACAGGCGATAATCTGTCTCACCAAATCAGATGGTGAAAGAGGGCAGCCACACAATTCCTATAGCAATGCCAAAAGAAATATAAAGTAGAAGCATGGAGTAGAATCATAGAATGGTTTGGGTTGGAAGGGACCTTAAAGATCACCTAGTTCCAACAGCCCTGCCACGGGCAGGGACACCTTCCACTAGACCAGGTTGCTCAAAGCCCCATCCAGCCTGGCCTTGAACACCTCCAGGGATGGGGCATCCACAACTTCTCTGGGCAATCTCTTCCAGTGCCTCACTACCCTCATAGTGAAGAATTTCTTCCTTATATCTAATCTAAATCTACCTTCTTTCAGTTTAAAGCCATTAACCCTTGTCCTAGCACTACATGCCCTTGTAAAAAGTCCCTCTCCAGCTTTCTTGTAGGCCCCTGTCAGGTACTGGAAGGCTGCTAGAAGGCCTACCCAGAGCCTTGTCTTCTCCAGGCTGAACAACCCCAGCTCTCTCAGCCTATCTTCATATGAGATGTGCTCCAGCCCTCTAATCATCTTCATGGTCCTCCTCCGGACTTGCTCCAACAGATCCATGTCCTTCTTATGTTGGGGGCCCCAGAGCTGGACGCAGCACTCCAGCTGGGGTCTCACGAGAGCAGAGTAGAGGGGGAGAATCACCTCCCTTGACCCGCTGGTTATACTTCTTTTGATGCAACCCAGGATACGGTTGGCTTTCTGGGCTGCAAGCACACATTGCTGGGTCACGTTGAGCTTCTACTCATCAGCCAACACCCCCAAGTCCTTCTCCTCAGGGCTGCTCTCCATCCATTCTCTGCCCGGCCTGTATTTGTGCTTGGGATTGCCCCGACCCATGTGCATGACCATGATCAACTGCACATGAAACAAGGACCATGGAAAGGACCTAATAGGACCATTCAGAAGGACCTAATTTGGTCATCTGTGATGAAGATGAATTTTGCAATCACACTTCTGGATATACTTAAAATTTTTGTAGCTAGGTAACTTTTGAAGAATGTTTTAGGTTCAAAAGGTGAACCTTATGATTTCGCCAAGCATATCTGACACTCATACATATAACATCTAATTCCATGTGATAACTTCTATGCACAAGAGTCATTTTATGGTTGCATCTTTACACTACCATGCCTCTTTCCTCCTTCTGAGACAGAAAGGACATTAGTGCAAAACAAGAGTCAGTAACAAGGAATATGAAAGCCTGAAGAATCTTAAAGCAGTAGCAACAAAGCACTAAGAGATGACCTGCAAAACCTAAGGCACAAAGACTTGAGATTAGTTTTTTAATTTGATAAAATATGTATTGGCTGATGGCCAATCTCTTAGGTAACTCACTAAACTATAGTTTAAAACAGGAATAAAAGCACATTTAAGTAAGAATACCAATTCAAATCTGGGTCCTTAAATTAGTAATTGGACACCTGTATATGGCCTCTAAGCGCAGACTGAAGAATTGGCTCTTGAAGAATGAGACACCAATAGACAAACTCAGGATATTTTTTCCTGCCATTCTAATAAAAAATAAAATGCCATTACTTGTTTTCAAATCCTCTTGCATATATGTCAACTGCTAAATTATTACAGAGATATAATGGGCATCCAGTATCTTTCTTCCCACTAACAGTGGTCATTTCTGACCATGTTTAATCAGCGTACTCTTTCTTACATGTCTGCAAAACCACTGGACAATTTGGGCTTTTTTGGAGGATAGCTTCACTTCAGCATGATAGCCAGAGTAGATTTGTAAGATGGAATTTCATATGGAAGAATGGCTGGTCTTTAGTTGTTTTTCAATATTTGGTTGCATCGTGTTTATTTTCCATCTGAAAGAATTATCCTAAGGACAACAAGGCAGGCTGAAGCTGCTCAAAATCCCTTGCAGACTCTGCTATCACCACCTCCAATGGCTTTGTCCCCTAGCAGCTGTCAAGTAATTGGCACAAAATCTTCTCTCTCACCTGGCAGTTTCTGTTAGTTTAGTTTCATACTAACTCAGAGTTCATCTCTCCAGAAGTTTCAGGAAGCAGGGGTATTTACTCAAGACACTGAGGCCACCATATTTTTGGCCATCTGTTTTGCTCATAATAGGTAAAGCCAATTTAAAATTAAGAACAAGTTAAGTTTTGCTCAGTTAAAAGACAAAGCTGTGCACTCTCCTGAGTCTGCCCAAGGAATGCACAGCTGACAGTGCCATTATAGGCAGCTCTGCTAACAAGTTTCTTGGGCCCATCTACACAGCACAGTGCAGCACCATGTGAAGGCCTTGGCTGTCAGCAGCTGGAACATCCATACGCATACAGCAGCACCTTGCAGAAATACGAGAGTGGCTCCTGAAAGCTGCATTAGCCAACCCATGCATCATGGCGACATCTGACCTAGGCAGGGCTGCACTGTGCTCTCAACAGCATCTGTAGGCCCTGGGTGTCCACCCCCACATCAGGCCCGGACATTTAGAGAGATGCCAAGGCTGTTTCACATGTGTAGCACACTGTAAGCAGTTTCCCAATGCGGTTGAGTCGGTCCCAGGGCTTCCCTCTCCCTACCTTCTGCCCCTGCCCTTGCCCTTGCACAGGACCTTGCCCGACCCTCTCTGATGAGCCACTTAAAGGTTAAGCCAGCCACTGTACAGTCAGGGGTTTGTTGGTAGGGGGTTGTTGGTTGTTTTGGGATTTTTAGGTTTTTTTTTTAACTCCTTCTGCCAGTTCACTGTGGGGTGGTTAGTGCTGGTGCAAGGGAGAAGACTGGAATCCACAGAAGTGGACTGAGTGCATGTGGGGAAGAAAGCCAGCATCAGTGTCAGAGATCACACTCTGTTCAAGCTGAAATTTGACAATATAGCCAAGTTCGCTGCAGGAAAATACTGTAAAATAGCTAAGTACTGTTAACTTAGCAGCTGGTGGTATTTAACTATGCATAACATATTCTGCAGGAAACCCACCAACAAATATTTCTATTAAATCGTAGTATAACAACAATCTGTCTGACTAAAAGGAAACATGACTTTCAAACTTATGTAATACATGCATTTGAAACCAGCACTCTCTGGTGAGTGTATAGCAATGATGTCAGCAGTTTCCAAAAATGGATTTCATTGCTTAGAGTTTTAAGTGTGGCACAGCAGTCTTACAAGCAGCAAGCTGTTGTTACTCTGCAGTGGTGGCAACTGCCTAGCAGGAACACAGTGCTTGGTACTTGGCTGCCAGAAAGTGATTTCTCAGATGTAGGTATTTCACAGCAGTAACTGTTAAAATTAACTACATGTCATGCAGCTACTAATACTCATTATAATAAGCTAAGTACGCAGACAATCTAATTCACCCTGTTCTTACTACATTCAGTGTTGAAACACCGAAGAACGAACAAAATATGTTCATATGACTCCTATAAAATGAAATTAGGATGTACTCCCATGAAAATTAACATACTTGCTCAGCTGTTTTCTGTTTCCCATTAATTGACCACAACAAAGCAACAGCAGAGGTGGTATTTCCCAACTTCTGAAACAATTAGCTCACAACACCTCAAGTAAGAACGACTGTTAGGCTTTGTTTGGTTGGCTTCCTTTTTTATTAGGAAGAATGCAGTTATCCTCATTTAAACTGGCTAAGATGTTCATACCATTCTTTGTAATGATGGCATCTCAAAAAGATAGGTGTTGAATGTGATTTTTAAAATATCAAAGAATAAACAAATACATGGAAAACCTTGTTGTACAAAATGCATTCAAACTGATCTTCCAATAACATCCCTTTCTGCCACTGGGATTAAATTATGAGAGACTCTTTCCTAGCTGGCCTACAAATAATATCCCTTTTTGTCATTGGAATTATACTAGCAGATAGTTTTTCTTAACATTAGAACAGAAAGAAAGAAGTATAAAAGTAAAGGGAAGCAAGAAAAACAACATACTTAGCAGTAAACTGACAGTTTTCACTCCTGAGTAACTGCAGTTACTGTTTAGTGAAATGGTGCTATGTTGAATTATTTATTTCCTGTTAAGTTCCTTTCACCTGACAACCTAAAAAAAAGATTTTTGAAACAGAAGGCTTAACAGCAGTAACTTTCCTTACAATGTATCTCACATGAGTCTTGTGCACAGTTCCTTGAGCTAATGATCATTTCTTAGTATGACAGGCAGCGGCCTAATGGTGTACTCCTAATGGAAATAATTAGATTTTTTCCACATCCATGCGTCAGTAACACACCTTCTTCCGTATATTTTATAATAAATATTGGTAGTGTTTGGCAGGAATTGGGTAAGTGGCTCACCTTCATCTAAAGGAACTTCTTCCTCCTCGCAGGGAGAAGGAAGGAGGGGCTGCAGAGGTTCCATGTTGATTATGAGTTGCTTGTTCAACGAGGGAGAGCTGCGACTCTGGGTAATGCTGGTTCTAAAAGAATGGGGAAAACAGGGTCAGTTTATTCACAAGGAAACAACTACAGTCCAATATGTCTCATCTCACAATTGTTTTGCATAAATTACAATAGGCCATGAGCTATTATAACAATCTCTGCACACTGAACACTGCTTTCAGCCATGTTACATTGCACCCTCAGCAGACATAAACCTTTCAACATCTGAAGTGTAAGAGAAGGTTTTGTGCTGGTTTACTTCCTTTTGCACAGCCTGACTCCTCCTCATCCCACACAGGATTTCAGTGTGTTGCTCCTCTCCACACTGCACAGCAGACATGAGTATTTGGCTTCAAGGAAGGGGAACGTAGAGAGGATACAAGTCATTCTCCTGATGTTGTTCCATTGCCTCCCAGACCGGGTAAAGAATTTGTTATGGTTTGAGCACTGCAGACTAAAGAATAAAGCAGGACCAACTATATCCCTTCAGTTAATAGATACACAGTGCTCTCATTCTCACGCATCCCAGACACTGCCTCTACACCATGCCTCCAGGTTGCTCAGGCTGGTTTTCTTTCTTGTCTTACTTGGCTTTAACAGACTTTCCTGGTAGCAGGTGTTGAGCTTTCTCAGGAAAGTTTGAGGAATGTTGTTGATTCACTTCAGTCATGAGGCTCATTAGCCTAAAATCATATTAATGAGAAAATAAAATGGCTCTTTAGAATGTTATCTAGCACTTAGATGATACAGGCTGGAAGCAAGAATCCTGCAATAAATCTGAACCATTAAATTATAAAATATTTACTTTTGACAAAAGCAAAGATGAAAGAGAAGAGGATTCTACTTGACTTCAAATGCTACATAGGTACAGTGCTGAAGTTTCACAAAATGCATTTCAAGTTTGCACAGACTCAACTTACAATCCCACATAGATAAACAAACTGAACAAAGCACCTATTGCAAGTGAAAAGAAGGGAGTGTGTGCTGCTGAGGTAAACCTGGGACACAGATGTCCTACTCTAAGTCACATTACATGTCATTAAATATTCTGTGGGAATAAACAGTATTTCTTGCACAGTTGCCATGATTCCTTGCTCATTAATGTATGCCCAAAGGTACTTGTGCCCTCATTTGCATTCTGTGGGCAGTCTCTAATTACTATTTAGTTTAAATTTTCACTGTCTAAAGAAGTTTTTCATTCAGATTACCATAACTACAATCACTCCAACCCAACGGTACCTCCACAGATTTGTTATGGATTCCCTGGATCTTTGTGCTTGCTCTAAAGAGCTATCAAGCAACTCTCGAAAGAGGAGCTGTGCCTGGGAGCACCCATAAGGCTCCTACTCCATAATTATTTAGAAAAGTCCCTCCTTCAGGCACACCCTGGAAGCAAAATATTAAATCATTCATGGTGTATTTGCCAGAAGAACTTGCCAGTGCATTAATGCTGCATGACTTACACACTCCAACAGATTTTCAGTCTGTAGTGGTTTAAGTGTGATATCCAAACACAAAGGTATTGAACAGTAACCTCCTCACAACTGCATGTTTCTTTCTTAATGCAGCCATGGTACCACTGAATTGACTTTAAGGGAGGGGGTGCAGGGAGAGAAAATTTTATATATAAATAAAAAAATACATATTTGCCATCAATCATATAACTTCCTCTAAATGTTTTGCATCTAAAAACCTACCATTTCCTGTCCCCAAATCCTTTTTCAAAGAGTAACTTGTTTCTAAAGCTTGCTTTTTTTGGAGCTGAAAATTTTCTATGCTTTTTGCCTACTTGTGCTATTAGGACAAGGTATCTACCAGTGTCTCCCATGTCAAAACCTGCATTATAAAACCACTTGAGATCCTTACACTTTTTTCTTAGTCTTTCTAAGAAACTGAACTTGGAGCTACCATAATATTATAAATGTAAGCATTTTAAGAACGTTAATCATAAAAAATATAATTACTATTTATGGGCGTTATATCCATATGACATTGCTCTATAAACTTATTTGCCCTCTGATCTGTTTCTTTACGTACACTAAAAGTTTTAAACAATATGTTTAAAAGACTTCAAATACTGAAAGCAAAGAAAAGTAAAATACAAGATAAAAAGTAATTTTATGTGAAAATCTTTTCTTATCCTATGGAAGAAAGAAACCATACGGAAAGTAGGCACTAAGCTATTTCCTTACGTGAATAACCATCTTCATTTAAAATGCATTTGTGTGCCCAAATAATCTACCATGCCTCAATGATGGACCTATATTCTGCCTTCTGTCTTCTCAGTTAACACTTTCTAGACTGTCACTTAGACCATTTTTAAATGTAATCTGCAGAAGCATGTTCAAAAGCATCCCTGCATGGCCTTGCTATTAATTACATAGTAGGGCCGGACAACATATTTACTAATATTTTCTGCAAATATATTCCTACCCTTTAGTAAAGACAATCCACTTTTCTCTCAAATATAGATGGAATAGCCATAGTCAGTTAAAAAACCAAACTCAAACATCCTGCCTCTGAAAAAAATCACAATAAAAATAGGCATATGGCTGTATAATGTCCAGAAAGTTAAGTAACCTTTTAAAAAAGTTTTTAAATAGCTTTTTCCTGCTGGCCTCTTTCTTCTCTTCAGAAGGCCTTTAGTTAGGTTCTTATCAATTTTCACTGTCACTACAATGAGTGGTAAGGACCTGAAAGTGTTAGTTTGCTTCCAAAGGACAGCTGCCTATTTCTAACAAGCCAAATCTTTTTTCTCTGAAAAAAAAAATTTTTTCTCTTTACTGAATGAAATTCTTGCTTTTTAATCTGACTGCGTTATGGAAAAACTGTCAAGTATAAATTTAGATATACCCATATGCATACACAAAGAAGATTCTTTCAAAACTGGGCAAGAACTAGGAATGAAGCATGAATGTATTTTTCTGTCAGATTCATGTAATAACAGTCAATGTCATAACACAGAAAACAATACAAGCTACTTATCTGACTGATTGATTAAACCCAGCTTCGAAGCAGCACAGATTAAGTTTCCTTGTGTAGAAGACAATATGCTATTGTCAGAATTTTGTAACACTAGCAACACCTATTTCCCAAGGCTTGCATGCCTCATTGTGGAAGCTCAGAATGACAGCCATTATATCTCACAGTAAAGGAAAGAGAATTTCTCTGTAGAGAAAAAAAATCCTCCTTAGACCTTAAACTTTAATATTGAATGTCAAGACATACCTGTGAACTTCAGGAGGTTCCCTCTGGATTTTAGAGCTTGCCTCCACAACCTCTTTGGCTACTTTTCCACTGCATTAAAACATGAAATAAATATTCAAGCAAATACTAAGATGAGCTCATTACGTGCCAAGCACTATATATCTACATGAACAATTAAGTTACATTTAAAAGAAGAACAGGAAAAGGTGAAAAAAAAAAAAATCCCATGTAGACAATATATAATGTTCTGGATTAAAAATTCTGCTGACCATATGTCTGCAAAGCTACTGAAGAGAAAAAGCAACCTTTTGTAGTAGAACACTAGGAGTGTGACTGGACTGTCCACTAATGCACCCCTCGTCCAGAGCTGCCCACTTACAGGGGTCATACAATCTCTACACTAGCCACGCATCCTTGTTTTTACAGAAACTACACCAAAAGTGGAGCCCTGTTCTGATGAACTACTCTTTGACAGAAATCTGCATGGAGCCTCCAGTTCATTTTATAAGCGACACTAAAGTGAAAACAGAAAGTCTTTCAAATCCTGACCTGGATTAGGTGTGAACAGGTCCTCAAGAAGGAAGAACCCTCAGTTTGCCGTGAGTAATTACTGATGTTTTCTCTTACTTTCTGAAACAGTTTACCATGAAAAACAAACAGCAAACACCCACCTATATCGAAATCTACTGCCTTTAAAAAATATCTTGCTGCTGGACATGGTCTTGATCTGACTGGATTTCGCATACCTTGAAGAAAAAGAACAGAGGCTATCACATTTTCAGCACAGAGGGAACCTGATAAGAAAAAATGAAGGCGGCAAACTACAAGATTTGTTATTTTTATTCCACAAAGTAATATCCAGCAATTGGGCTTTCCAACTTTTTTTAAGGCCTTTATACAAATGATAATATAAAGTGTACATAAAACAATTCAGACAGCACAGAATGACTGAACATAAAACAAGTGATTACCTGGACAGGAAAGCAAGAAAATGAAATGCTGACACTTGCTGCATCTCTAGGGACTTTCATTTACAGGGTGAAGGAAATGCCACAGTACACCAAAAGCCCCTAGGACAAGTCTGCCCTAACACTACCGTGTTTGTGGGAAGATATGGCTGTTTCCACTTTCCCACTAGTAAAGCAAAGAAATAATAAAGCAGTGGTAATGCTTGTCTCCAAAAGTAGTTGTATTTCCGATGTCTCTATACAATCAACTTCTTAGTAGCCTACATCATATCCTACTGCTTCTCTCTAATCACGAAGTACACAGCAACATTTTATCACAGTCTTTAATCACAAAGATCATGGAAGAGTACCTCAGACACACCATCTCCTTCATGTTCTCTGCCTTCAAAATGGCAAACTGATTTCATATCGAGTCTCTCATTCCCAGACCCTAGTAGACAATCTTCTATGATTTATATCTACTTGAAAATAACCACAACAGTCAACCTTGAGCCTGGATCGAGACAGGACTAAAGTTCTTTTTTTCAAGACATGCCAAGAGATCACCACCTTATCTTAAATTCCAAGTCTCAAGTTCTTCTAAGCAGAGGAGAGGACCGAATCTAATTAAGGCAAAGTATCATATTACTTACACAACCTGGCTACATCTGTTCTAAACTAATTAGAATACCTTGTTGGTATCATACAGAACATAAACAGACAGCATTTATCTAATACTGTTAAGTAACTAACAGTCCACACTGTACAGCTCAGTTTCTCTGAAATGTATGAAAACTTTTGCTGTTTCAAAAACTACTATCCTAAGCCTTTATTTACAGATTGCTTTGGCTTCAGTTTCATGGTTGGAGGATCATTTTTATTCTTCTGCACTCCATGCTCCATGTATTAACCATTACTATTTTCCAATCTATCAGCGAGGTTCCTCCCCATTGAATATCACTACCAATCTTCATTTTATTAAAGTAGCCCTCTTTTAAGACCCACCAAAACTGAAACAGGCAAGCATAATTTTAAGCAACAATGCTAAAGAAATAACCCCACAGCAGTGCTCTGAAGACATTTGGAAAGTAGAAAAAAAACATGAGAGAAGCAGCCCTGCAGACACCAAGGTCAGAGAAGAAAGAGGGGGAGGAGGTGCGCCAGGTGCCAGAGCAGAGATTCCCCTACAGCCCATGGAGAAGACCACGGTGGAGCAGGCTGTCCCCCTGTAGCCTATGGAAGACCGTGCCAGAGCAGATATCTACACTGCAGCCTGTGGAAGACCCTGCACTACAGCAGGTGGATATGCCCTGAGGGAAGCTGCAGCCCCTGGAGACCCCAGACAGGAGCTGGCTCCTGGTGGGAGTTGTGGCTGATGGAGAGGAACTCATGCTGCAGCAGGTTTATCCTGAAGGACTGCAGCCCATGGGAAGGACCCATGCAGGAGCAGTTCGTGGACACTGGAGCAGAGGAAAAGTGTGAGGAGGAAGGAGCAGCAGAGAGAAACTGCTATGAACTGACTGCAACCCCCATTCCCCATCTCCCTGTGCTGCTCAGGGCAAGGAGGATAGGAGGAGTCAGGAATAGAGGGGTCAGGAATGAAGGAGTGAAGTGAGCTTGGGAAGAAACAGGGGAGGGTTGTTTTAGTTTTGTCTTTATCACCATTTAAAAATAGAACAAGAAGGTGAGAAACAAATTAAATTCACCTTCCCCAAGTCAAGCCTGTTTTGCCTGTGACGGTAATTGGTAAGCAATCTTCCTGTCTTTATCCCAACCCATGAGCTTTTTTGTCTTATTTTCTCTCCTTGACCTTTTGAGGAAAGGGAGTGAGACAGCAGCTGGGTGGGCATCTGGCACCTAGTCAAGGTCAAACGCACCACAACCATGTATTTGTGACCAAAACCCAAACAGTAATTACAACCATTTAACAATAAGAGCAGAGAGATATTCCTATGAGTCTCTCTCAGACATCTTTACTCTGATCACTAATTTCTTTCCTTTGGGTGGGAATTGTTTCCTATTCCCTATATTTACTTCTACTAACAGAAAATAAAGCCACTCAGACACCATGCATTGTTTTCCTACTTACATGTGCTTCCAATGGAAAACACTTCCTGATAATCTTTTTATTAATTCAGACTCAAACACAGTAGATGTTAACATAGAGAATTAACAGCTGTATTGTGCTAGCTCATATTTCCTGTTTCTTCATCAAATATATCAGTTGAATAGATTATATTGATATATTATTCTATCAGTGTTGAAACGAAAGAAGGAATCTTCTCCAAAATAAAGCAGGTCATTAACATCTATGTTAGAAGACACATTCTTCCTACTTAGTTATTATTTACCCTTATAGCAGCCCCCTGGTGTTGCTATGCTCCAACATGGAAACGATATTTTTTAGCAAATATGCAAGATGCTGTAAGGAGAGATTAAGCACCAAGAATAAAAGCTACATGCCTAAAGGGAAGCGTCAATGAACAGATCTAAAAAAGTCAATGGAGGGCAGAAAGAACACATCAGAGCTTTTTAATAAGGAATTAGTTTCACATTCTCTTTTTAGAGAATAGGGAGGAAGATGCTTCTTTTTTCTTGTCAATTTACAGGCTTTTTTTTTTTTTAAACAAGATGGCTGGCATCTTTCAAAATGTATCTAAGAACATTTTCATTTTTTTTTTTCAATCATTGCAGAGAATTTTTTTTCTTTTTTCAAACAACTCTTACTAAACCTTGGGTTTCAAGTGGGAGAACATTACCTACCAGAAGAAAAGCCCAGATAATCAAGCATAACAGAATGTTTCCTCCACTATCAAGGTATTCAACAGCAGGGCTAAGATTAACAACTATGTTCCCAGACAATAAGTGCAGTACTGTGTCCATCCAACATCACACTACGGAGCAGCAAAACCAGCGTGCTGGAAAAACTGTAATTATTCACTGCCAAAACCCTCCTGCCTCATTCAGATTTTAAACAATTTATAATACTGGCTTGTAATGAAATAATATTCCCCATTAACTTGCATATTTTCTGTTTGCATTTTGAATTCTGTTAATGAAATGGAACATTTCACACTGAACACTCTTCTGCTCACATGAACGTTTTTTTATGTTTAGCATAGATAACAACTTCAGGTTTACATACTTGTAAAAAGCCTGGTTCTCCACCCCACATTTCCAAAGATGCTTGCAGGCTGCTGGTGTAGAGGTATGGAATGACAGCACAGCCTTTTTCTGAGTGCAAGGAAAAGAAGGCAAATAAAAGCAATGAAAATGCTGAATTTTCAAAGATCGGAGTAGCTGTACCTGACAGCATCACCATGAACTGGATACACTGAAGACCAAGTTTTCCTGTGTAGACTCAATCTGTTCACCCACAGAAGTACAATCCATATGTAGCTGATATTTAAACCACCTAAGCAATTGTTTCAGAAATAAAAGGGGATTCTTGGAGGGCGCAGAGCAGAGCAATGTACAAGTGGCTTGTAGAATAAATCTGTACCAACTGCCTTCAGGCCAAAATCAAAGGGGGAAAGTCTCTATGTCTGATATTCCACATTGCACTGTTGCTGCACTACTTACCATCCATTTCTCCCTGTTCCCTATGTCCTGCTGTCACAACCTCCTTGCAACCACACGAAGTGCCTGATACCTCTGGCATTATTTCCTTCCTCCATTTTCTGTTCCTCACCTAGACTGCATCCAAAGCCATAATCTTGGGCTATATCACTCTGCTGTACAGGAAGAACTGATTATAGCATGCTGTAGGCAAAAATCTCTATGAATTCAATGGCAAGAGCTCAATGATAGGACTCCTAACTACCTAGGCCAGACTCCAGCCTATTCAGATGACCAAGACATGAGGGGGTGATCATAATTAGCCAAAAATGCTTCACATTGATCCAGGTGTCAATGCCCACCTGAATTTTTAATCATATACAGATGTCGCTCATGCTTTAGAGCGGGTGGGTACAGCTTTAGAGCTTTAAAATCCATTAAAATTTGACTACACAGATGACCAAAATCATGAGCAATCACCACAGCATTGCGTGAATGTTAGTGAGAAAAGCCTTAACCCTTTGCAAATTAGGCATTCTTTTGACAACAGCAACATTCACATTCACTCATATTCTATATCTTAGTTACAATATGAAGTACAATTACTGATTTAGAAGTTTGTTTAGTTAAAAAATGATATGTTTTAGTTGATTCTAAATCAAATAAAGAAGTTCTGTAAAAAATATCAAAACTGACCTCTTTCTGAGCTCCAAACACATAAAAAGTCTTCCCTTCAAATTTCAGTTTATAGACATCACACCTAGAAAGAGAAAAATCATTTAAGTATAGGAAAAATAGATAGATATACAGGTAAAAAAAGGAACCTGCATGCAAGTTTCCCTGATCCCCAAAGTCAAGCAGGCTGTCAAATGACAGAGCCTCAACGGAAGTCTTACAACATTTAGCATAAAAGTATTTAATATTCTAATTTTCTTTAGAGTAGAAAACATAATCCCAGAGTATTTGTTTTACATCCTTATGCACCTTCAAAGAATTAGGTCTGGCTGCTGGAAAATGAAGAGGAAATTAAAAGTAAGCAGAAGCTTGTTTACATTCTATTTATTACACAGTTTGTAATTCCTCTTAAATCTTAAAATCTTGGAATTTCTAATGTAATTAAATTGAAGGAAAGACAACACTCTTAGCCTGCATATGTTGTATCTGGTTTACACACCAATGGACTAAATGAATACACCAAGATGTCCGAAGGGACATGTTATCCTTCAGTAACGTGAAAAGCTAAGTGTGCTGTGAAACTCATTTCCCACAATATGATGGATACATGCTCAGCAAAGTACTATTCTCTCCTCCCTGCACTGTAGACTGACATTATTGTTACACTGTCCTTACGCCAAAAGCACAACCCGCAGAAGCACTGTGGCTAGGGGTACCTGAAATTAACCCTAGGGAAACTACAGAACAAATCCAGGATCACAAATGGATGGTATTTGATAGACACATCCCCAGAGCTCCACATGGAACTGAATCATACAGACAGGACTACACTGACTTTATACCTCTGAGGATTCAGGTTAGTCAGCTCTTGGGGAGGTTTCTGTTGATATGCAGCAAAGAGTCCAGCTCTACACAAAAAACCACTTCAACACTTCTTCACCTCCTGCCCATGTTCTTCCCACAAGACAGGCTGGGAGCGCCGAAGTGGAGCAGCCACATCTAAGTAACTGCTGTTGGCATCTGTTTAGCAGCAGGGCTAAAATGAGATTTGTCGATGTCCGAGAATGACTGTGCTCACTCTGCACCACATGGCTGAGGGCATGGCCAGCTGCTGTTACACCACCTGAGGGAGCTCAGTTTTACCTCTCCCTCAAATGTGGCTGAGGCTGTCCAATTAAGTCAAGTGTTTTACAGGAGCAGAAAAGAAAAGCAAAGCCAGACAAACCAAGGACAATTGTATAAGTGTCCAGTTCTTAAAAAAAAGAGGCTAAAAAATAAAAATTCAAAGACATTCTCACCTCCTCCTCTGCTTACCAAGTAAGTTTTTTTTATAGTTTTCAAACTGAGATTAAATGAGGAAATAACAATATTTCAAAGAGTCACAAATAAAGAGGCAGGTGGACTCTTGTAAACTCTTTCAGACATCTCTGCCAATAAGCCTCACTGGTGATTTACAGCATAGTTGAAAAATCAACTTCCTCAATTTTAGCATTTGTGCATTATGTTGACTAACGCACCCTGTGGAATAATTTTCACTGGAGGAAGAACAAGACCAAATTATTATTATTATACTTCTCATCTAAGATCCTTTAAAACAGAAACATGATGGGGCAAGAGAAGAAATATTCACGTGGTTCACCTTAAAGACAACAAATGCAGGTGAAGGTAGTCAGAACAAGGGAAGACACAGGAGAAAAGACTCTTGCATATTAATCTGCTCTTACTTCACATGCTTACCATTTTAACAAATGAATTCTTTTATTCCCCTGGAAAACTACAAATCCTGCAGCTGTGAATCCTAAAAATGTAGTCATCCCCGTTGAGTCCTTGAAAGAGAAAAAAAAAGGTATCATTTTCCCCTCATCCAGTGAGGTATTCCTTACTTGTAGCATGAATTGTTACTCCACTATAGATTACCTCTATTTTGTTTTCCTTCTCAAAATAAATTTTGCCTTCAAATTGTACACTTCTAAAGAACAAAGACTGCTCCTGGCAATACAGGTCTCTACGCATTTAACTGAGTAACAGCATCTTATGCTTTGTTTCCGACTTCCTGTAGCTGATGAGAATGGGGAATCCTAGGTACACATACTAATTTTGTTGAAAACATTTTTCTGTGTATATCCCGTTCTTAACATGCTGACTAACTACAAACCAGGGATTCATATCTGCTTCAACACTGATATTTTTTAAGATTTCACAATACCTTGTTCCTCTACGAGATGTTGGTTTGGAAGTAGTGCTTACAGACAGCATTTACAAAAATAAGCAAGTACTCTTGAGTACAAACCAGAACATATGGTGATACTTGCCTTTCAAATAGGAAAGACCATTTTTTAAATTTTTAATTCCACAATAAAAGTTCTGGCTCATAGTTTTTGAGCAATGATTCAGGTTAGTTTTGTATTAACTGGATTTCCTGTCCATCCCAAGTTCCAGACCCTTACCTTGCTAAAGTTAGTCAACTTCATGTGCCTTACGTTCCACCAATAAAATAAGGGGGAACAGAAACAATGATGCTTCTGGAGTAGCAGCCACAGCACTGGAAGCAGCATATCGTAAGGACTCAGGGGAGCGCCCTGTTTTGCAGTTCACTTCCAGAACCCCACACTACAAGCCCTGCCACACAGGTAAAGAGGAAATTCTGAGCCAGTTTTGACGCTGTCCTAAGTGCCAACATAAGTCTCTGGGATGCCCTCTGAAAATCTGCAGTATAGTTTTGAACTAAAGGTTACTAAGTCACTGACTTCACTGAGCTCTGAACCAGACCCTGTATTTCATGCAGGACCACCATTCCTAGCAAAGTATATATGAAATACAGTGCAGCTCTATGTTAGAGATGACTGTTTAAGGGCGCTCACCACCAGAACAGCTAACTGGAGAGCACTGCTATTCCACCAAATGAGATGGCATACAAGCCAAAGTAAAAGCAGCAGTTAAAATACGAAGCAAGTAACACTAAAAACAAACACTGCAGATTATGCAGATAAAACCACGTAATTAAAAATGCAGGTGTAAGGCATAATCAGAACAGGTAACTAAAATCACCTTCTTACAGAGAACCACAAAACAGCAAAGCGGAGGAATGTGCAAATGGATATCTGGTTCTCGCCTCTGTACATTTGGTTTGCTGTTCTTCATAAGATTTGTATATTTTGATGGTGTTTGAAAAACTAGTCTGCCAAGGACTAACGATTTGTTGCATCTTCTGGACAAGAATAATACTGAATCCTGAAAAACTTGGCAAACATAAAATATTTCACACCTGGAGTATTTAGAGGAACCTTTGCATTGAATGCAAAGAAATTATAAAGTGTAATCAACACTTTTGTCATGACACTCTACTACTTTCTCCTATGATGTTCTGCTTCTTCTGGAGAGACCTTTCCTTTGACTGATGCAGAAATGTCAACCAGTCAATGTTCTTCCAAGACTTAAAAGTAATACATAGTTCCAGGGCAAGTTCTTTCATAAATTACTCCCTATATGTGCCTGGATAAAAAAACAGAGCTAGATCAATTCAATTAATGGCTTTTTACTAAATGTTAGTAAAAAGAACATTTTATTAAACGTTAGTAAAAAGAACTGTTACCTTGCAAGGATGAGGATCAACACCGTAAGTTTCCAAAGAATATGCTTTCAGGAGCAAGTTAAATTCAGCAACAGCAGGGCTCTGACCTCTGAAATTACAGAAGAAACAGTTGTTTGACAGCAAAAAGAAAACAGGATAAAAAGACTTTTTGACTGGAGAGTCTAAATGCCTAAGAAAGGAGGAAATAAAAGTTCTTACTGAAATACAAACTATTTCAACCATGTTCTGTTTATAATAGGTTGAAAAATTTTCTTGTTTTCTCCTTCTGAATTTTACAGTGCTTGATGTTTTCAAGTAAATTCTAATTTTTTTTCCCCAATCTTGAGATAACAACATATTATGCAGTTAACCAGAGTTATCCAATATCCTGCAAGTATTTGTTGTCTTTTGATCTACATGCACGTCAGCCTGAATATGAAATAAACCGCAGCACCTTTTTTCCACAAACTCTTGTTCCCCAACTCATTTAAAAGGATTGTGCAGATTAACAAACATTCCTTCCAGCACAGGCTATAAACACAGCAATCATATTACACTGTCTACTCAGATGCATGCCTAATTATAGCAGTGCCTGTTACCATCATGATAGTTCAGAATCTGTCAGCATTTCCATTATATGCTCCTATTTTTAGGGTGTCTATAATCAACCATGAATATACACTAAAGCCTGAAACATGGCATGCAGGACTTGAGTTCTAGAGTAAGTTTTATTATTTTATTTTTGCTCTTCTAACTCCTGCCATTACAATGAGCTCTAACACAGTTTTACAATGCCTGTTTGTCAGTGAACTGTTCTGAGTATTATTTTATTCATGTATTTGCATGACTAGAGTACGTGATTCTGATAGATAATACGGTTTTGTGACAATGAGCAGTGCTTAGGAACTTTAGAAAGCCAGGCCTCATAAATGATTCTCATGCAAATTATCCAAAAAAATGAGCCATTGATAAATCTTCAAGGAACACAGCAATAGTCGTACTTCACCTTACCCCTGCATTTTGGGGTCCAGTCTCACAGTGTGACCAATGGCACTCGGGAATTGGCATTTAAAAACTGCTCTGTGCACTGGTGTAGAATAATTTCCCTGTAAGTCTGTTATTCCCCAGTAGCTAGAAACGAACTAGCATTGATGTACAAGATTCAGTATCTAGCCCAAAGTTCAGTTTAACAATTAGGACAATGTCTAGCATGCTTGTGGATGTCAAATCCCATTTTGAACCTACCAAGCTGATGCCCTGTGGCAATGTGAGTGTCAATAACCTTTTCTGTTACAAGGTTCTAATTCATGCTCATTTGTACTTCACTGCTCATCGTCTCCCAGTCAATCCCATGATACTTCTTCAGCTTCTTCCATATGTCTTCTGGGCGTCCTTGGTACTACACTACTTGAACTTTATTTCAGATCACATTTTCATTGAAGTTTAGCTTTTAAAGAATAAAAACTACATGAGATTAGAGAAGAAGGAAGAGAGAACCTTCCTTTTTTGGTCTCTTTCTCACCACTTTCCAATGGAGAAGAATGTGTATCAAGTGAAACACCAAAACTTACAAATGTGCATTTACACAACTATATATTTAAAGGGAAGACAGCATGAAAGCAGAAAACAAACCAAAAATGCTTATTTTGCCCAATCAACTTTCTGATGGCTCTACTAAACTGTTTTTCTCCCTTTTCAATACTAATAAATCACAACTTTAAGTGCAATCACAACTGCAAGACCATAAATGATCTTTAAAAAGGCAACAAGTTTGTTTCATGTACCAACCAACTGCGCAGAACAGAAGTAATTAACTACCTTGACCTAAATTACTCAGAACGCTTATGTTGCATAGTGAAAAGCCAAACAAATAGATAGTTTGATTGCTTATTTGAAATAGGGCCTTACAGAAAAATAAGATCATAAAATGAATCTTTTTCCCACCTCTCTTTGCTGGTACAAGGGGAAGTAGTCAGTCCTCTGGTTTTAAAGGACCAGAAAGTGACAAACAATTTGGAACAAAGTGATTTGGGGGTTTTTGGCATTTCCAAAAAGGAAAAATTATTGTATTGCAATTATTACTAAAGAGACATGTTAAAGAAGTATTAGCATGCTCTCCTCACCTATAGGCTCTGAAACTATGCTGTCTTTGTGCACATCAAGTGGAACAAGCTGTGGTACTTGGAAAAAAAAGCAGAAGACATGGACAAATTTGATCTTATCGGATTACAGGCTAATCAAACTGCTACTGTGCAAAGCCTTAAAAGAACATCACAAGGCAGAAGAGTCAAGGGCAATATATTAATATTCAAGCCTTGATAATATGCTCTTCATCTGTAACTTAGCAATGAAATTTTCCTTACTAAATAAAAATGTAACTATAGCAAATCCTATCAGCAAAGAAAAGTCAACATTTTTTTTTCCAATCACTGATTTAACATTAGATATGCCTTTGATTGGCTTTGTTAAAAAACCTTTAAGCTTTCCACATGCAACACAACACGTATAGAGTTTACACAAAAATGTATAAAGTTTCCTCACTTATGCAAGTGTTTCAATTAATGCCTCTTACAGTGGAAAACCAAGGATTATTTAGACAGCGCATCTTTGCTGTTTTGTAACTCAGTTCTCTCAAGAAAGTCAGGTCTCTGTCTCAGTGCATTCACTCCTTTTGACCTTATATGACTTCCCAAATTTTTCAGTAGTATTCAGCATTAAATGGAAGATGTATTCCCTTTCTGACCATTGCAGCCACTACAGCACCCAGCTGCAGTATGCCAAAGGTTTTGAACAGGACTAGTAGAAGAAACCATTACACAGAAAAGTTTCTGTATACCATATGAATAATAAAATGTGGATTACTTGTGAAATCAGAGCTCCACAGTTATTAGCTACAAATTAATGATTCAACCTAGGAATCAATCAATCTCAAAGTTCCTAATAAAATTTTAATGAAACAAAGACTTTAATAGAAGACTGAGAAGTCTGCAGCACATTCTGTTTTTTCCTTTAGGCTCATGCGAAGTTTATTCCCCACAGGGTCCCCAACTCTGCAGCACTTCAAAGGCCAGGAAGCTCAACAGGGAATACTTCCAGGGTGTGCCACAGCAATGATCTACTTGTTTTGCTGGCTGCCCACACCAGTTCACTCTAGAATTTTCTCCCCTTCATGCTTTTCTTTTGAGGTATGTATCTGTTACAAACTGACGTACTGAAACTTAGTGAAAGTCAAGAATGAGATACCACAGAACTGAGCATTAATTCCTTTTAACAAACAGGGAAGAAAAACATTTTCAGTGCTATTCTCGGTTTCTTGCTTCCTGAGTGACCTTAGTGAAGTCATTTCATCTATCTTCTCTGATTCTCTCACTGCCTTATGAAGTGCTGTGAGATCTTACTATTAACATACTACGACTAATAATAAAAGGCATAATTATTGTCCATCCTTTTGCCTCATCTCTACATCAAAGTTACTTGCTGTAGAATACAATAGCAATACTGTACTTGAGCATGCCCCATATATGATCAATTTCTGAGTATTTATGGTCTGTAGGGTGTTTCAATGTAATTACTTCAAAGAACAAATAAGTATGTACATAATGATCTGGCCTCTAGAAACATTAACGTATTCACCTCCATGCAAACCAGGGAAAAGTACCAGCCATAAAGCTTTAAATACATATGCCCAGTGTCCATAAAAGACCCTTTGCCCTACCCTGCAACTGTGGACATTCTGCACTGCAGTCTCAGGAGAGACCACGGTGACTAATTCAAGAAGAGTCTCCATCTATGAAATACTCTCCTTGTTATATCCCAGATCTTGTACAGGATGTCGCTCAGCAGAACAAGGTTACCCAGGCTTCCTTTTAACTCCCAAAACAGCCAGAATTCTGCATAAAGCATCAACATGTTTAGCTACACCATATACTGATCACAGAACTGCTTACCACATGGCTGAGGTTTTGCTGTTGTATCTTTAAATCTTTTTACAGGTGGCTGAGACTCTAATTGCTATACAATTTTAATGCTAAAGGTCTTGAGTAGCTTTTGCTTTTCCTTTAAGCTCAGGAGGTTTTGGCAGACAGTGGAGATGTTTTTAAACAGTCTGTCTGCTAGTATTTTTAGTCAGGATGAAGGTGCGAGGACTATGTGGTATTGAAACACAAATCTGCTACAGTTGTGTTTCAGTTGTACTGAAGACAATAGCACAACTACAGTGATAATTTCAAAGAAAAGCACTAAATGAAGATATTGGTAAATGAAATTGTGTTGTAGGCTGTGGCTCAGTTTGTCAGAATAGTAAGGCCAGGCTTTCTACATTGCCCAAGCAACAGCACTTCTCCCCTGAGAACTGCTGGGGCCACTGGCAGTGGGGAAGGGAAAAGCCTTTAAATGGGTCTGCATATGAAAAGAGACCTTATCACCCGGCAAAGTAGCTGAATTGTTGAAATGTTACTGGAACATATAAAACTTAGAGAACTGCAGAACACTGAAATATCAATTTTAACTTGTACTGCAAAATTGTTTTTTCTCTCAGACAGAATTCTATGATGAGAAAAACCTGAATAATCACTTTAAAACAATAGTCAAACTATTTACTGACTCTATTAAATGCTTATGGGTTTAATTTTACACTATGCATACTGTAATGACATGTGCCACTTACATAATGCCTTCTACCAGAACATTTCAAATTACTTGTGTGCTTCAGACATCAGGCCGAGACTATATCTCTGAAATCTGTGTTTGGGTATTTGTATTACAACTTTACTTCATAAATTCATGCAGTAACACAGACAGCTTTAAGCCTATTCAACAAAAATAATACCTTTACAGAACAGATGCAGTTTTAATTTACCTATTACTAATTTAAAATCTATTCCCATGATACAGAGACCTCTACTGAGCTATCTGTTTTCCATACCACGTAGATTCACCCTCCTGGTCCAGACATGCCTGGCCCATAAAGCCTTCTCCCAAATAAAGAAGAGGTGTGGAAGGAGGAGAGGGGCAGAGGAAAAAGGTCCCTTCGGCTGATGAAGAAATCCCTACATTGTAGAAATTCACAGAGTCATCTGAATTCAGCAATGCAGAACCTGAATCCAGACA